AAAGGCATAATTTACTTGGATAGGGATGGAGTAGCGTTATTTAAACACAATTTATTTCCCTAATTGCGAATATTTATTATTTAATGAAAGAAAAACTCTATTATGAATAAATATTATAATATTTATTATCTTGATGTTCCATGAGGTAACTGCTTACACCTGTAGAATATCGGCGCCCTAATGGTGAAAACAGTTTCTGGGTTTTCAAGGTAATTATGAAATTATGAATGAATTTTACTGAATGATTTTGTGGTGTACGAGATACTTTGCTTCTGCATTCTAAGGCAAAATCATAAGGTTAAAAATAGTTTTCAAACACACAACCCAAAAATTATACCTTAAATTACCACATATAGGATATAAAATCATCTTCAAACAAATTAATTTCAAAGATATCATTCACAATATCATATACACTATCATAGAGCAACTGAACAAAATGTATAAACTCCATATGAACTTTGGGTAAGAGCCTCTTAACTCAAAAGGTAAAATGTTTACATCAAATGAGACACACTTCACTCGCAAACACCCCAAGCTCTACTGAAGAAAAAATTTACGTATTGAATTAATACCTTCTCCCCCCTGCTCCCAGCTCTAACAGAGTACGTTTTCATCAGTTGTTCCACAATAATTTATGGAATTAGAGTACTTTTTGATCAGTTGTTTCACAATACTTTACGCACGAACACGTCGATTCTCCTTCCTCCCACACCACTTCAGCGTGTCCTCCCCTTCACCCGCCGTGCGAAGTCCGCCCGCCCGGCCCCGCACGCGCTCTCGAGTTGCAGTGTCGGCGGCGACGCGTGGCGGCGCGGAGGCGGCGCGACGGCCGTTTTTAATGGGGCTCCTCGGCGATGCGCGTCCGCGCGCCGTTAGAGGGAGAGAAAGCACCGTGGTTGGCCTGGGGGGGGGGGAGGGGACGGGCGATCGACGGCGAACGGGGACGCGCGGACCCGCCAGCCTCCGCCTCCGTACCGCCTCCGCCGGCGGCGGCGCAAGGGCCGCGCACGTCTCTCCTTACGTGACTTGTGCCACCTTCTCTTCTCCTTCCTCCTCCCCCCTCTCCTTTTTCCGTCAATCTCGCCATTCTCCGTTAACGCCTCTCTACAGGCAAAGGTGGTTCAGGGCATTAACTGAAGTCGCAGCAATGCCTTTGGTCGGAAGCTCCTACTCGGTTCGAGTCCTGACGGTGGCAGAATTTTCGATACTAGCTTGTCTGATAGGGTGAATTCTGTCGCAGACTAGAGGAGAATTCTAGAGGCTGGCGGTTTTGATCGGTAGTTTTCCGTGGTTTCTCTTATCACCACCAGGCGAATGCTGGAGTAGTACACTAACAAACGGGGCACGGATCGCACGCGATCTTTCCTTCCTCCTCCTTGTCATATTCTCACCCCTTACCTTCACACGCACTTGCACTACACTACCACACTTATCGGGAGACAACCTAGACGATAATTGAGAGAGCTTGTCCCGGCTGGGGCGGTGCCACGCTGGTGGGAGATACCTGATTGGAGAAAATCCCCGCAAGCCGATATAGGTCGTCACCGGATCACAGCATCCAACGTTGCATGATATCCGCCACATCCCACAATAACAAAACATGCAATACACCTACGACACCAATGACCTTAGCAGTTAACGCACCCAGAATTACTCAGACATCAATTAATCGAACTTTCAACATCTCCCTTCTCTTTGAACATCTCCCTACCTTTTCTTTGAACATCTCCCTTCTCTTTGAACCTCTTCATTCCTTCTCTTTGAACCTCTTCTTCTTGAACCTCTTCCTTCTCATTCAACCCACATAGCGCGAGACATTCTTTAAGCCGGTTTGCCTCTCCGGAAATTGCGTACGACGCGTGAAAGAAATTTGGTGTGGAATGTCACTAGTGCCTCTCTCGTTGGGGCAGGGACTGGGAAGTTTGTCAAAGAAATGTCAGATAAGGTTCGTGTACTGTTCATAAGAGGAAATAGAAACACGATTTAGATTACACACGCGAAGTAGCGAGATCTATCAGAAGACAGAAAAATCTGTCGGTTGGGATTGCTTTTTCACCCAAGCTTTAGCCAGCCTCCTTTGTGAAATTACACCGTGTGTCCGCAGCTCTGCCCATGGTTGGGCGTGTCCTGACCCTAGCTGGCATGTAATATCGTTTACGATGATCTAGTTGAGTTGGAGGCAAATACATCGCATTTATAGAGAGAAGAAGATCCTCCCTTGAGTTGTATACCCTCAATAATAAACGTTTACCCTTGTCTCCTGAGGAATTCGGTGAGATATGGGCCTTCAACAAACGAATACAGACTTCTGGGAACGTGAAAAGTCCTCCTCTAAATGATTTAGGTAGTTTTCACAATGCTTACAATCGTGTTTTTTTAATCTTGATCAAAGATTATTTCTTCGCAGCTATCAACTAAAAATGTATACCTTTTCCTTCAAACGTCAAAGATTTTTTTATGTGGTAATTACATTGAGAAAAATAAAATAAAAGGAGAACTTTACACTCTTCCCTCCACTACTGAAGTAAGTGAAGCCGAAGGCTAAGGGTTTGAATAAGGCAAATTGGTCTTACATTTAAAGATATTTTGCCGTGTAATCAGATGCCTTTTCATGCCATCGCGCATTACGTACAAGTATGTGCCATTATTCCATCCAAAATCATTTATTTCGTTTCATCATTCTCATGATCAACACCACAATCACTTAGAGGAAGGTAAGGTAACAACAAGCTACCATTCTATGATCAGCATATCTGAGGGCGTATACGTAGTCCCTCGACTATGGAACTGACGCTTATCCAAATGAGCAACATAATCATAATCACTTGGCAGCATATCTTGCGGCCCTGGACTCCTCAATGACACAGATGGGACCCCTCATTAAAGTATAATATATAGTTTTGTATGTAGTAGATCTTCGGAGGACACAATTTCACAATATTTCTACTATACTCTAGAAAATTGCTCATCCTCACTCACTGCCCGTTAAAGGTAGGCGAATGCCAGAGCAGTATCCTAACAAACGGGTTATGGACGGTGTACGATATGCCCTTCCTCATCTTTGTCTTCTCCTCCCCCCTTTCACACACACAATCACTTGTACAATACTTCCATACATGCCAGGACACTAGAGCTCGTCAGGACTAGGCGGGCCCGTTGGTGGAGATCCCTGGAGAGAGAACCCCGGCAGGCCATGATATAGATCGGCACCGGAACTTCGATTCTAAAGAGAGAGGAACCTTCCCAAAAGTTAACATGCACTATCAGGCGCGCCTAGAGAAAACCATGGGCCTGAGGCAGTTGATGCATGGGAGCCCCTCATTTCAAACAAAAAAGTCTCTCCTCCCCAAATTCATAAACATAATTAATTTATCCATGCACCAGAAATAACTTATAGTGTTAAATTTGAATTATAGATTAATATATTTTTTTTTATTTCTTTTGAATGAAAAGTAATTCGGGGCCCCAATTAAGTCGAGGCTTGGGGCAAGTTGTCTCAGCTGCCTTCCCCCTTAGAGTCCCCCAATGCACTATACTTACGCTACTAATGGCGGTAACGGTTGACGTGCTTGCAAACGCGTAATAATCTAGATGTTTTCTAGATTATTACGCGTTTAAAGGAGATGTTTTCTCGGGAGTTAGGGCCCACTGGGGTTGATGGAAAGGTTTCTCCACAGCCCTCCCTCTTCCGTTCCTTTGAATGACACATTAGAAACTAGACGTGGCGAGGGGAACAGCGTATGTTGCCGTCCAGAACCGACCTGGTTGACGCAGAGCCGAATGACGCCAGCTAGAGTTCCTCATAAGACATGTATTTCTTACTCTATTTCGTTTTATTTATAATGGCGCCTCAACGTCAAGTACGAAACAGGCAGAGGGAAGAGAGTCTCCAATAGTCTCCAACGTCAACACAGTGTTAACAAATCGAACGTCCTTCTCAGCGGGGCTAGTGTGTCCGCAGCCATGTGCTTACCACGTGCAAGCCGCGCAAGTGTGTGGCAACACTGCGTAACTTCACCTTGGGTTGCCATTATAAATAAATCGAAGTACGGTGGCGCAACCAGCATTTTTCTATAGTAGTAGTGTACATATGATTTCTTACGAAGAATTTTTTATTTTTGTTGAATTATATTTATTTTAGTTTGATTTTTAGTTACTTTAAAAACGTATCAAATTGAGATATTGAAAATCATTCGTATCTAAATAAAATTATTAAAAGCTATTTGTCTGAGATGTCATCGGTTTTGAGGAATAGGCTAAAGCCCCATGAGCGCTCTCCCCGTTAGGTCACTAATTCGTTTACCATGTGAATGTGGCTTGTTTCTCAGACCGCCAGGTATCCTATTCATGATAATTTATTTCGCATTATTTTTGATCCCTTACGGGCATCACTACTATAGTCCATTCAACAGAAGGCAAATAATTACTGTGATCATCGGCCCAAGGAAGCATTAGTTAGGGGGCCGAATACCCCGTTCAGCCATTCATCACAATGATCATATGACGGGTAGGGCACGCTTCAGATGGAGTGACGTATGTCGGGGCCGCTCCAATAACCCAATATTTTCTTCTTCGGTCGATTTTTTGAGTTACACTGAACACGGTTGATGTTTAAAAGTTCTAACGCACTAATTATAAGACTTGTTGGAGGAAACGAAATGAGCCAACGTTTTTTCAACTCTCCGAAGTAGGTTACTTCGGATACCGGCCCAGAAAGAGGCTCTTCTGACCGGCATTGGAAAGATTTAATGATTGTAAAGGGGAGGATATAATTAGGTCTGGACACTAGGAAGTCATGTTAGAATCATGCAACGTCAATTGACTGCGAACATGTCAGTGCTCGAGTAAGTGTCGACTGGGTCTGGGATTCATTCTGTACCGGAGAGAAAAAAAATCCTGTGCATTTCAGTATTGGGTTACGATTTAATATGTCTTCTAATTTTCATTCATTTTGAAGTTATGGTTTTTCAATAAATTTGTTTCATTTTCTGTTGCAGAACATAAAACTACACTACGTGGAAAATGGAGATAGTTCCAAACCTCTGATGCTTTTTGTTCACGGTTTCCCTGAATTGTGGTACTCTTGGAGACACCAAATCAAGGAGTTCTCTTCCGATTACTGGTAAGTATCAAATTCTATGGACCAAAGGTATTTCATGCTTTGCCAAGTTGCCAAAACAGAGGTGGAGTTTGCAGACATGGGTGGCGAGTTAAGCTAAGAACTGTGTGTGTGTGTACATATCTATATCCATATCTATATAAGATTTATCATTGTATATAGATATAATGCTTTTCTTTTCTTCGCTATTGAGTAAGTTTTATTACACATTTCCCAAACAAACTATTAAATCTCTTGTGAAAGTTTAGTTAGTAAGGTTCATGTGCGCTTTCTTCTTTTGACCATTGTTTATGGTCAATATCTGAGAAATGTTTTACTTGGAAAAGTGGCATCAGAAAAGTTTCATAAAATACTTTGAGCTTTAAGAAATCAGTATTATAAACAAGCGCCATCTTCTATTATAATTTTGTCACGTATTTATTTTTCGTTTCTTTTACAGAATTATTTAATTAATTTTTTGTTTGTATTTTTTGTTTTGATTGGATTGTTCTTACTAATCGCGGATCCCTCTGCCACTATAAATATTTAATTTGTTTGTTTCAGGACCATTGCGTTAGATATGAGAGGATACGGCGAGTCAGAGAAACCAGATGGAGTTCAGAATTACAAAATGAAATATTTGTTGGATGACATCAAGGAATTGGTTACCGCGCTCGGTATGTGTAATTGTTATATAAGCTGTAACGCTAAATTAGACGGGAAAGTACCGAACATTTTTACGAACCTGCGCAATTAACTTATTTTAACAGTCATTGTTTGTGGGACTGGATGGCCGAAATAGCTAAGAGCGTGTACCGGCTCAGTGCTTCAGCCCGAAGGGTCGCGGATTCGGGTCCCGCCTTGGGCGTAGTTGTTTCTCATTTATGTATTATCGCACTGGTGTCGCGTTCTGCTGACTCCAGTTCAGAGAAGCCCGCGTTGACGTCTAGTGTACTCGTATAGTCGAATATGTAATCCATTGGGACGTAAAGCGTAACCACTTATCGGCTGGGAAAAGCCCTACGAAAGAAAAAATCCAATTTTAACAAGTTATCCTAAAGTTACGAAATCAATTGGCACTCTTATATCAATGAAAAAACACATTATCACGGGAAGCCTTGGACATTATCCGTAAAATTTACATTCGCAGTGGGTCAAATTACGTCTAAGAATTGGCGTTTTTCAAAATATAACGAGCGTTTATTTTTACCTCGAGCGAGAAGAGCAGAAGTTCGAATTATTTTTTCTTGCATGTCGCAACTCACTAATTGCAAAAATAGCTTAATTAGAAATTATGTTCACAAGAAAATTAATTTTGTTTTAATATGAAATATTTAGGCTTAAAATCAAATTATTTCAATCACAAATATTTGTGACATCCTAAATACTTTGCCTATCCTTTTGAAAATTTTCCCAATTTTTTATTTGCAAAAAATATACTTAAGCTTAGTTTAAGGGCCTCATAAGTTCACAATGAGGCAGCTTCATTTGGTATTTTTCTGAATGGGTTCACATTAAAACTTGGAATGTTTGTATCTTCTTGTCTGTCCGGGAAACGCCGCGTACAAGGCACAGATACTGCATTTCGCCCTGAGGAAGGTCGCAGCATGACGGCCGAAATATTGACGTCTGTGCCCAGGAGGCGGCGTCTCCCGGACAACCAATCAGCCACTCTCCGGCCTCGGAAGACTACAATTTAATTAGAGTGTTTGCGATTTCTAATTTTTGTCAGGTCGCGATAAGTTCACCCTCGTTGCTCATGACTGGGGCGGCGTTGTTGCTTGGCAATTCGTCTTCCACTTCCCAGAGATGGTCGAAAAGTATATCATAATGGACGCTCCACACCCACGCGGTTTCCGGCGACAAATGTTCAGCAGCCTTAAACAATTCCTCATGTCTTGGTAAGTGAAAGTAATTTGTTTTGTTGTTGAGAGTCTTTGATATCAAATATACTTCGATTTAAACAGAGGGTGTGTTGACGTAAATCAGCTGCCACGGTGTCATCCAATCGGAAGGTTGAACGTCACCATAGTGACATTTAAGATCCCGATTGGCTGACCCCGTAACAACTGATAAACTATCAAGGGGCACTAAAAATAAATCGAAGTATAGTTGCAGGGTATATTGTGTGCTGCATTTGGCGGTGCGACATGAACGTTATGATACTTGCAGAAAATATGGAATAGTATTTCAGTTCCACCGTCTATTGGCTGTGAAAATTCTTGACAAAAGTACATTTTTTTTAAATAAATAACTTCAGTTGTGGTTGCCAATGTGTGCTGTAATTACTACAAATAAGTTGTAAATACATTATTAAATGTAAATGTTCATAAACAATCATTTCAAACGTTTGGGGTGGCTCATTTAGAGTATTTGATTTAACTTTTAAAAAGACCTATTGAAAATGAGTTACGTAACTCTGTTTCTGAAGTAACGTCACGTGTCGCAATATTGTTCTCTTAGGACTTCAACTGCTAAAAACGTAGGTGGTGTAGAAAATTTCAAGATTTTTCTTAATTTTTTCTGGAGTTCCATTGAAGATTCTTCTAAAGAATTATTACAGTAAAACTTAAGAATGAACTATAATCAATTGCATTGAATAATTTATTTGTAATATGAACAATAGAAATGATTCCTGATTCAAGTATTTTTGTTATTAACAAGGTTTTTATTATTTTTTAGGTACATATTCTTCTTCCAAGTCCCATATATTCCGGAAATAATGATGCGATCTTACGATTGTCACTCTCTTAAAAAAACTTTCCGCAAATACAGGACAGAAACTGAAACGAAGGTAACTGATGAAGATATTGAAGCTTTCAAATATTTCTTCACTCAGCCAGGTAACTTCATGATGAATTTCTATTTTCTAGTGAATACTTAATTTTCAATATACTTGTTCATAATTAACGTTCTACAATCATTTCTTACAGGTGCGTTTAGTGGACCTATTAACTACTACCGCGCGAATTTCGGATCCCTTCATAAGTTGAATTCCAACGATGGAGTGGATCTCCCACCTGGAATGTTGATTGCGGGAGAAAAAGATGATTACATTTCGCAGGAAGTGCTAGGGAAAGCTAAAATGTTTGTTCCTACGTGCAAAGTGGAAATAATCAAGGGTGCAAATCATTTCGTTCAACAAGATGATCCTGAAGCCGTCAACAAAGTTATGAGAGATTTTCTTAAGAACTAGTAATGGTTGATGTATTGTACTGTAGCCGAAGGTCACCTTAATTAATACGTAGTCAAGCATGAAATACGAATCATCATTTACATCATATACACATGACATTTTATTTTATTTAATTTTTTACTGACTGAACATTCCATTATACTTAGTTATTAATTATACTTTACTCAGAATATTTATAATATGTTTCATTGAATAAAGAAATATTAGAGTTATACAATGTTTTACTTATTTGTGTATTGTGAGTGAAAGCCAAATCTAATTGCTACGTCATTCTCATGGGGTGATGGCATTTATTTTAAACGGTTTGTTTTCCTGTAACATTTGAATACAAACTTATATTTAAAATTTATTCATATTAAAATTATAGTTGATATAATGATTAACATGTATCGGAGTGGATGTTTCAATTTATTTCACATGAATAATTAATCAACACATTTCTTATGTGTTCATGTTTTTTTTAAATTATTATTACGACTTCACACGCGGATTGACGACCCAATCGACGACTCTTCCAGTGTACTTTCTGCATGGAAGTGCATTTATGATACTGAAATGTGATGAAGTATAGTAAATAATAAGAGTAAAGGGATTGTTTTGTTATTTTAAATTTATTTTTGCTTGGTCTGTGGCCCTCAGCAGCCATGAACGACTGATACAGTAATTGATTTCTTATATACAGCAAGTTTACAAGATATATTTTTCATCGTGGTTATTTCATTTCTGAATCACTTTATATTACATGGCTAATCGTTTCCAGTCTACTTAATGAGGGTCAAAAAATTTATCTCGATAATTTCCTTTTCAAACGATTCCGATGAGGGCTCTGTTTACCTTGTTTGAAATGGGTAGCTGAAGGTATTCCAGAAATTTTGTAATAGAATTTACGGATAGATAGGAGAAATGTACAGTAGTAGGGTGATACCGAGTTCTTGATGGAATTCAGAGTCCGGGATAAACCAGGAGCTTTTGTGATTATTCTTAGGAATTTATTTTGTAAGGTTTGGATTTTGTGAATATTGGTTTTGAATGCTGCGGCCCAGACTGGAGATGCATAACATAATAATATAGGTCGTACCATTGTTTGGTAGAGATGAATGGATGTGTGCAATTGAAGTGGGGATGATTTCTTAAGTAAGGAATATAACTCTTGTATGCTTCTAGTGGCTAATGCAATTCTGTGCATGATATTTGATCTCCATGTGAGTCGTATGTCGAATAATACCTCTAGGTATTTTGCTGTGGCGTATTCATGCTATATAATGGTTTTCATGGGTCAAGGTGGGCGGATCTAGGAGTCTTCGAAGAGTGAATAATTGACTTTGACTTTTGCTTGCGTTTATCTGAATACGCCATTTTTGTGACCAATCGGAAAATACGCTGAGAGGATCTTGTAGATCCTCCAATTCTGTTCCTATGTCTCGGTTTGTAGAGTACTGTCATTTGCAAAGGTGGCAATGGATGTAAATGGTGAGGTATGTAGCTATTTAGATATTGAATAGGGTTGGGGAGAGGCCTGAACCGTGTGGAACTCCTGATTTTATGGGATATGGTGTTGAGAGTGCGCTAGGGAAGTCGCACCGAAAAAGTACATTCTAAAGAAACCTTCTATTATGCGTGAAAGATACTGGGGAGTGCCAATGTTTCGATGTTTGAATGTCAGTCCTGGGTGCCATACTGTATCAAAAGCTTTTGCGATGTCAAGGAACATTGCAGCTGTATGCTTATGGTCATGAAAACCTTCGATAATGTCCTCTCTCAAACGTAATATTTGGTGGTATGTAGAAAGCTGAGGTTGAAAGCCAAAGATGAGGGGGTAGTATATTTGTTGAGGTAAGGTGAGTATGAAGTCTGGAGAGGATTTTTCGAGTAATTTTCCCATGGAGGATAAAAGACTGATTGAACGGTAGCTTGCTGGATCGGTATTTGATTTTCCTGGCTTGGGGATGGGAATGATATGTGCATATTTACATTTATGGGAGAGGTAACGAAGATTTTTCAAACTCACAACACAGGTCTAAAAAATCAAAATCTACAGAAACTGCCATTCTTTTCTTTTCTTAAAGATGTAGCTTCATCAATGGACCAAAATAAAGCACCCATTGGAATATTTTTAGATCTTTCAAAAGCTTTTGACGTTTTTGACCATAACATCTAGCTATCAAAATTACCTTCGTATGGAATTCGTGTTATCGCCCTATATTGGATAACCTCGTACCTTAAACATCGATCTCAAAGAGTGGAATTACTGTACTGGCACAAAATAACATTTACTTATCTTTCCAATTGCTTACCATTTGAATACGGGGTCCCGCAAGGTTCCATCTTAGGTCCTATCCTCTTTCTGTTACACGTAAACGATATGACCTCGTCTATTAAAAACGGAAAAACAGTTCTGTTTGCCGATGACACGAATGTTCTTTGCAAAAAAAGATACAATAAATATGATTGGGCGATGCTCTGATTGAAGAGCTATGTGTGTTTCAACATGAATATTTTAACTGATGTCTTTTAAGACGTCGAGGTCAAGAACCTCGGTCTGAACTGGGGGACAATAAGGATATTAAGTTGGGTTGCCTGGTGCATGAAATGTTAGGTTTAGTCTTTGTACATCGTTTAAACTGCTGAGTCGTATTAACTGTTCCATCAAATGAGCATTTTTTGACACTTATTAATGCTAAGCTATGTCGGTCAAGGAGGAAGGGATCGTAGCAACACCACCTAGATACAAGGACTGCCTATTGGACGTTTTTAAAGCCAATACGGAGGTAGAAAAGTCCGATTTGTGCGAGTTGAGGCGATTCAGTTGTGCAAGTTGAATAGCACGTATAGCTTTCGAGTTGTGGTTATAAAGATATGGTCTGCTGTTGATAGTAGTGAGAATGATGGTGAATAAGAGCTGTGTCCCAGGTGAGGAAATTAAGATAAAAAGTGAAAAGTGTAAGTTGCTAGGCTCAGTGGTTACTATCGGCTTCGTGAAATGCATTTGCGAACGTGTGAAATTGAGAAAAATTCAGTGTCCTGTTGAGATAATGGACTAAAAATCAGACTCCCTCTAAAACATACAAGACTCGAGTTTTTCTCGTGTAGCTATTCCATATTTGTTGCCTCATTGTCCTACATACTTGAATTCGAGGCCAATGAACTTGAGTCCAATGTCTAGGTGGTGCTGGTCGTGGTCGGTATGTAACTAGAAGAAATTGTTCACATTCATTAAAAAATATTGGATAACTTGTACTGCAGCAATTTTACTTCCTATTATTTATCTGATTCCGCCATCAGGATAATGTTCGCATGAAATGAATGTATTTAAGTAGCTAAAACGCATGAAAAGTACCCTTAAAACTTTCTTTTTGAGAAAAATTATTTACGTGTATAATTATTTGTTTCAAATTTGATCTATTTCGAGTTTAATTAAAACCCTGATGAATATAAACAAAATTAGTAGTGCTACAACAGCACGTACTTTCTCGCCTCTAGTAATAGTTATGTAATACTATTTATAGTGCCTGACTTCGACTTCTGTGCGTCCTAGGCTGTCAAATGTGTTAGTGTCCTGTTTTAAATTTTTATTTTTAACATTAAAGTTGTTTATAATATTTTGAATAAAAAATGTACGATATTTGTAACTGATACAAATATTGTATATGTATAAATAATCTATTGAATACCCACATTTTTTAAAACATCAAACATTTTTCTGTCAATAAATTTAAAAATGATGGTTATTATAAAAGAATGTCTAAATTTGAATATTATTTACATTACAAAAAACAGTTATTACAAATTTACATATTAATTTCTAAAGAACATTTAGGTGTACTTATAAAACATGCGTTGGCATACCAAATTTTGTTTTCTCGCTTTACTGTTGGCAAATTTCTTAACAGTGTTTTCAAACTCTGTGCGTCCCAAAATGTCATTTTAATTTCTATGTTCCACAGTACAGACATAATGCATTTAATGTGTCTTGTTTAAGACTCGGTCTCAGCTAGTTTTTTATGCTCTGTAAAGCAGAAAAACATCGTTCGCCATTTACATCAGTCACAGATATCATCAAATCCTCTTAAAATAATTTCTTCAGTTGGAAATATATCTTGTATCAACAATCTAATAAAGAATTCCCTCCGAATTACCATTTCTAAACCCTTTATTTCTATACCGAACGAGATGGCGATCCATAAACGGATCAAACGTGGATATCACCTCAATGCAGCCTAAGAAGTTTTCAATTTGGAACCACTAATCTCGTTGTTACCAAAAGAGACAATCCTGTTGTCGCTAAAAGTTTCAGAGTTTCGACAAGTCTTTTGAGGACATTTCTCCAATATTCCATTCTATTTTTGTACTGTTTCCAAGCTATGAATCCACTCCTTCTAAAATTGCAGATCTACCAACAAATCTTACGCAATATTGATGTTCGGAATTGTTATCATGTTGAGAAATATTGTTGCTATATTTCCAGTCGTTAAACCTCTCGCAGCGAGCACAGTAGTTCCTTGCAAGGCTATTCAAAAGACATTACATGTAGATGGCGAATATACTAACCATAATTTTTTTAACAACTTCTCCATTTGCCATTGTTTTTTAGAAATATGATTTTGATAAATATCGACTTTGATCTTCATAATGCCTTTCAGAGTTAGAAAAGTCGATGGCTTTGTTTTGGTTAAATCCATTGATTGCCACCATTTCTCTAAAACCATCGTCAATGTTCCACTGTACTGAGTCGTTTGGAGCTTGAAATCTTTCTGTTATTATCTCTGTTGAAGCTAATTTCATGTTTGCTTGTATTATCTGGCGGTTGCACTGGTAGTATGCTCGAAGAATGGGCGACGTGAAATGCGTATAGATTCGAAGCGCGGGAATTCATAAATGCAATTTCAAAAATGATATTTCTCTAAACTACTCATATTTTAAAACAATTGTATATGACATATTATAAAGAACTGATTTTTTGTAACATATTTAATACAAGAAAAACATCTTAATCATCAATATTTTGGCAACGCTAATTTTTGTGTACAAATTAAAAAAAGTACAAAATGTGCCGAAAATGAGACCAGTAGAATTTTGTTTACATACTTTACTAAATACAATAAACAATTTATAAAAAAGTGTCATTTTTTAGAAAAAATTGTATAAAATAGAATTAAAAGCGTTTGACGGAAAATTACGCAATAAATATTTATATTTTTGAAAAATTGAACATGACCTTATTTCAA